CACACACACACACACACACACACACACACACACACACACACACACACGCACACAGGGCAGCTATGTCATTCAGTGTACACACACACACACACACACATCTCTAAGGTGCCTCTACCCAGGCACTCTCAGCGTCTACCAGTTTGCAAGGAGGTACCGGAAGTTTGTGCCTTGTGGAGGTGACGGGCATTGCACACTGCAATTCAATTACTTCCAGGGTCTGAAAGGCTCTGAAGACACTGAAGTTCTGAACCTAACCTGGTATCCAGCTACATTCGGGCCCTGGAGCATCATGATTCATGACCTTTTTGGAAGCCATTAGATGTTTGTAAGCGTACCGGACTTTTTAGGCCTGCCGTACTTGCTGGAATTTCAAAATGGTACCAGGGTCCCATCCATATTCTACGTTTTGTCCTTGTCCATCCTAGAGTTTCTTCTAAGTCAATCTGGCATCCAATTTCATTCCTACCCCTGTCGCTGTATTGGCTTACCGTTTCCCCCCTCTCGTAACACAGAAAATGCAGCAAAAGAACAAAGTTCTCTCACAGGCACAGCAAGCACAATAGAGTCTTGAGTCTTGACTCTTCAGTACATCAAAACACACGCAGAGTACAAATTCTTCCTCCTATCACAGCAACCGGGAGTAATACTCGGAAATTTAAACTGAAGGAATTATTTCACACTGCAACTGTCGGGGTCATTGCATTTTTGGTTTTCTCTTTTTTCTTTTTTTCTTTTTTTTTTTTTTTTTTTTTTGGTGATAATTTATCTCACTTTAACAAGTTTATACCCCATGAAGTGCGCGTTCTGCAAGTGCCTTGGACAGTTGAGCCACATTCAACTGCGCATCCATTCGTGCTCCCAAGACTATTTCATAAAATTCTGAGGATTTTTCAATTTTTTCTCCTTCTTCAAAAAGCCCAAAGTAAAGGGAAAGGCAGGAGGACAGCAATCTTTAAAATTCAGCAAGTAATAAAAGAAAACAAAAACTTAAAAAAAGTTCAAAAAACTTGAAAAAAGAGAAACTAAACAGGAATAGAAGTTTGGTAGAAGCAGCGAGTAACTCATGCGCATGCCGCAAACCGAAACCCTAACCCGTTAAAAAGAAAGAAAGAAAAAAAAAAAAAAAAAAGGAAGGATGCACAGGAGAACCTCTTTTTCTCTCAAACTTCTCTAAGTGTTCTTCACACTGATGCACAGGAGAATCTCTTTTTCAGATTTTCTCTAAAACTTTGTCAAATTGTTCACACTTCGATGTGCACGGCTTAGACTTTGAGACAAGCCATGCACGCCTAACTGTGAGAACACTCCGCGAGTGTTCACACGTAGACAAGGATGCACAGAAATCGTAAAAAATCAGAGAGTAAAAAAAAAAAAAAAAAAAAAAAAAAAAAAAAAAATTAAAAAAAAAGGAAAACCAGACAGGACCAGAGGTTTTGCCAGAAGCAGCAAGTATTCACAGGAAAAAAAAAAAAAAAAAAAAAAAATCGAAAAAGCAAAACAAGTTTAAACAACACACACAACAAAAAAAGGAGACGTGGCAAGAAACTCCCTCACCTGCCACGGGTATGGCACATTCGCCTCCCCTGTGTCAATGAGAATCGGTTTTGGTTTGTGGCATTTGATCTGCTCCCCTGAAGGTGGTTCGATAAAGGATCCCACAATCCGCCAAAAGATATTCCCCTGCATTGACCAATTTATTTCATTTTTCAAAAACTCACACACACACACACACACACGCACACACACACACACACACACACACACACACACAAATTGCAAGGAATGTGAGCAAGAGCGATATACAGAGAACCACATTGCAAAATCACGCACAGATAGTCATGTTCAAGCAGAGAGCTCAAATGCACCAAGATTCCATCCAAATAAGAGCAATACAATGAACTCGTGAGCCAATGTTCAAGCCCTCAGCCACGCCAACGCAGTATTCAATGTCACTCCTCTCTGTCTGGCGCCCAGCGCCCAGCCTACTCTACTTGCCTACCTAGCCTATCTACGTTCATACAACAGGCTCACATCGACTTTCAAGACCAATGTACATGTCATCAACACCAATGGCGACCTCCCACATACACCAGGTACGTATCCTCCGTCTCCCCTCATCACCCCGTGTCACCCACTTCTGCGCCTTCTCCCGAAGACCCCCTGTCGCCCTCCTCTGCCTCACGCCCTGTTGCCCGCCCTGTTGCCCGGCTATGGCTGCTAGTGCCCCGCTGCCCTGCAGCGTCCTCACCTCTCCCCTCAGCCCAAGCTATGGCGCATGCAGACACTCGCTTGCTAGCGCAGCAGCATGTGCGCAATGCCCCCATGGGCCAGAATGCTCAACTCTGGCCAGCCTCCTCCCTATATGGGAGAGGTTGCTGCTGCTGGACTGTGTGAGCCTGGCCGTGGAAGTTTCCAGTAGTTTCCGGTCGGGCCCCAGTGTCTGCGCCCAGGCCAACTCTGACAGTTACGGGCCTGGGCCCTTTTTTGATGGGCACTGACATGGACTCCGTCAGGGCTCCATCCCTGGTCTATCTTTTGCTGTTTTCGGCCTGGCACCCTTTTTTCCAAACCCCTCCTTTGGTACCGTCGGATTTTGGACAACTGGCGCCATGCTGCGATTCGGGCGCCACTTTCAAATACCGCATTTTTCAGTTCTGCCCTCGGGGCTTTTGCGGAAATGCCCCTGGTACCGTACGTGTCACCAGTACTTATACCGGCTCCCCGCACAGTACGGGAACCAGTCTCGTGCCAGTTTTCAGCTGCTGTACTCGTACTCAGTGTGACTTGCTGTTTCGGCATTCGGAATCCAAGACTTCGACTTTGTGCCCTTGCCATTGTGTCTGTGTCCGACCCTCAGTCGTATCGAGCGAGTGAGTGTGTGTGTGTGTAATCTCACTCTCTCCCTCTCTCCCTCTCTCCCTCTCTCCCTCCTCTCCCTTGGCTCTCCCTTCAGCCTCGCGCTCGTCACAGGCACGCCCAGATCTTTCCAGGCTTCGACTTGTTTGCCGCATTTGCACTGGCCCAGATACGACGACAATGCTGCTTTCTTGTTTGCCCCTGGCCACTTCGTGATGTGTCGGCCTCTCAATGTGTGTGCACGGGGCACAACCACCCGCGCCCTGGGCTCAACTGCCTGGCGCCGTTATCTCTTCTGGAAGAGCCCAGGGTAAGGCCCAGGTTGCTCTTCAACCAACTGTCGTGCAGCAACTGTCTGAGACTCGCATTGGAAAATGCTGAGATAAGGACTTTTCGACACTTTCGTGGATATTCAGGCCCGCCTTCACTTAGGGCGGGCACGAGGCTTGCTCAGGGCCACAGTCAGAACGTATGCATGTTGTCTAAGGGCCCCCTGAGGACACATTCCTCGCACACACACACACACACAAAAAAAAAAAAAAAAGCACATGAAAGGTTCAAACAACCGTCATGATCATCATACTATCATTGCCTTACAATAATATAATAAAAAAAGGATAATGAAAAAAATAATAATAAAAAAAATTGAAAATTTGATCCCACACATAATCCCTCCCCTTTCCACCAAAAGAAAAATGAAAAAAGTGCACCGTTCGTTTTCAATCATTTTTTCATTTGTCAGTGCCACCCTTGCAGCAACCATTTCTTCCTTCGTGCGTCTTATGTTGATGATTTTTGACAATTGAGTCCAAATCATTGCCATCGTTTGATGATTTTACGATTGATAACTGACGACGATGATGCTGATGATGGCGATGATGATGATGATGATGATTAGTGATTACGATCGTTGGTGATGGTGATAATGATGATTGATGATTGATTTGACGTTTGGTGGTGATGGTGATAAGGATTGACTCGTGATGATGATGATGATGATGATGATGATGATGATGATGATGATGATGATGATGATTGGTGATGATGATTGGTGATTGGTGACTGGTGATTGGTGATATGATGACAGTGCTGAAGGAGAGGGGGGACTTACATGCTCATCTCCCTGCTTAAAGTTGAAAGCCCCAGGACCATCTGTTGTTCCTGCTGCAAAACTGAACCCCATTGCAGGCTTGCATGTCTTCACGACATTGTGCGTCCCCATGGACGGAACAACATCGAGAGAGCTGAAATCCACAAAGGAGTGCCTGAAATCCACAGGTCCGTTCAGAAACTCCGTTGCACTGTCGAAAAGCACCTTGGCCTGATCAAACTGCCGCTTTCCAATTATCCACGTGCTCGCAAAATCGTCACCTGGATATCTGTCCACATATATTTAATTTGGTATCATACAGCCAAAGCATTATCAGTCCCCACATCCCTACCAGGCTCAAATCAGCCACAGCCAGCACACAAAGACAAAGCACAAGTTGATTAGCTGTTTTTCTTCTTTCTTTTGTTCTTTTTCTTTCTTTTTCTTTTCTTCTTCCCCCCCCCCCCCCCCACTTACAGGTAGAGAATCCGACGTCCTTTTACCTCTTGCCGATGCCCTGGACCCAATGTTCAATTCAAAAACAATTGATGCATTTTTGGGAAAACAAAAATACAAAAATTAGTAAAAAACTACCCATGGTTATCGAGACCCACACCCCAGACTCATCAGAACACAGAGTGCAATTCTGCCTCATCTGATGCCTGAGCATAGGAGCATTCCCACACTGGAGCTGGAGGAAGGGGCACTGGGGCTCATGCTGCCAACCATCAGCTATGTCCCTCGCGAACTCTCTCTCTCTCTCTCTCTCTCTCTCTCTCTCTCTCTCTCTCTCTCACACACACACACACACACAAAATCAGTGTTATGTCCGTCTGTCTGTTACCTTTTCCCCCCTTCCCCCAATTTTTTTCTTTCTGTCTGTTGGAGTGAGCACCCTTAAGATGTGCTAAACAGTAAGTGGTCCGTTGTTTGGAGAGCCTACAGCACTCTTACTGGGGCTGCTCGGTTCAGGATGTCTCTGTTGCCTGTGGCTGATGACGGATGCTTGTCGGAGTGTCTCCCTGGCTCAGTGGGTGGTAGGAAGCAACAGTCTGCGCGGTTCAATCGTCACGTGAGTAGGTCATGTGCCGCTTTGCTCCATGTTGGATGTGTGGACTGCCTCGTCTGCGCTCCGCCGCTGCCTTGCTGCCTGTCCCGCTTGCTTCGCATGTGCTTCTCTGCAAGTTGCTGCGTTCGCTGTGTGGTGTGGCCACGCCGTTCGTGTTGTGTTGCGCTTCGCTGCTCCGCTGCCTTGCTGCCCATCCGCTGGTCGTGCCTTCCGTGTTTGTTGCTTGTGTGCCTTGTGGGTTTGTTGCCTTGTTGCTGTTGCCTTGTGCTTCGCTGCACGGTTGCCGAGCTGCTGGTCCGCTCGCCCTGACATCCCTTGCAGTGTCGTTGCCCTGCTTGTGTTGCCTTGTGCTTCACTACGTGGTTGCTGTGCTGTTCATCCATCATCCGCTTGCCCTGTCGTTCCTAGCAGTCGTTTTTGGCGTTGTGCAGCGGTGTTGCCTCTACTGCGTTGCCTGGTGCTCCGCAGGGTTGCTGCCCGCTGCTACGTTCCGCTTGGGGGCAGTCCGCTTTCAACATGGATCAAACGGTTCATGACCCAAACCATGAAATACGGAGATTCCGCAGATTGTCGAGGGTCAGCCTACTGATGAGTCGGTGGAACTCCGACGAAACAATCTTTCATCATCAGTTTTATTGCTTTCGGTCTTTCAGTCTTTTTGGGACTTCGATTTTGATTGTTTACTTTGTTGTTTCTTTGTCGTGCTGCTTCTTGGCGTGATGTCTTGTTTGTTGCTTCCTAGCGCCGTTTTGTCTGCTGCCCMCCCGCCTCCCCCGTGCCCTCCACCCTGCGTTCTTTGCTACTGTTCGACCGCCCGATGCTGCTGTCTTTTCCTGTGCTGCCTAGTGTTTTTTGGTTTGCCTGCCCACACGCCTCCCCCATGCAATGTTGCACGCCCGGCCGCGGCCGGGGGGTCCAAGTCGGCCGCGGCCTAGGCCGACCAGCCGACTTCGGTGCAAGATTTTTATTTTTTTTTCTAATGCATGAAAATATATATATATATATGGGCGTGTAGGGCTAAAAAAAACCTACACTCCTATATTTTTTTTTTTGGAATCCGACTTTGTTTAAGATTTTTTTAAAATCAAAAACTAAAATCGATTTAAACAAAATCAAAAAAAGTATATAAAGAAAAGCAGGATTTTTTTTTGGTCATTTTTTATCATGAGATATATGGTCCGTGAGTTTACCTGTATTTGTTTAGAAATGAATTTATGTTTTTTTGCAGAAGTATGAGGTGTTTTGAAAAAATGCAGATGCAAAAT